GGTGCGGGCCTACAATCCCTGTGCTGAGGAGGCTGAGGCAGGAGGATCCCTGCAAGTTCAAGGCCAGCCTGGGCTACATAGTGAGACCTGCTCAAGGCTCAAGGCCAGCCTGGGCTACATAGTGAGACCTCAACTCAAAAAAAAAAAAAAAGTTGAATTAAGTGGACTTTTAAAACATCAAACTGTAGGAGAAAAATGAAACCAATAAACCCAAGAACTTTTTTTTTTTTTTTGAGACAGGGTCTCACTATGCAGTCTAGGCTGGCCTCAAACTCGAGGAAATCCTACTGCCTCAGCCTCCTGAGTGCTGAGATTACAGGCAGGCCTACCATGCCTGGCCTGACCAGAGAGCATCTTAACGACGTGCAGTTCCACTGCCCCCATGGCAGCCACTGCCGCTTGGCATGGGAAGTTTCAAAGGTAGTGAGTCCAGACTCTCATGTCTTGTAAGGGTGAACACATATCAGGTTTTAAAGGTTTCATGTAAAAGAGGAATAGAAAATATCTCAATAATTTTTATATTGAAGCAATATTTGGGGTACATTGGGTTAATATAAATTTTAAAAATTAATTTCATCTGCTTCTTTTTAACTCTGGCCACTGGAGAATTTAGAATTACATACACATGTGGATCATACTATTTTTCTATTTTTTGTTTGTTTGTTTGGCTGGTTTTGGGGTTTGTTTTTTTTTTTTGAGACATTCTCTTTATTCAAGCTGGTCTTGAGTTTGTGGGGATCCTCCTGCCTCAGCCTCCCAGAGCGCTGGCTGGGATAACAGGTGTGAGTCACCACGTCCAGAGAAAAAAATTCCTTTTGAGACAGGGTTTTGCTAAATTCTCCGGGCTGGCCTTGAACTTTCAATCCTCCTGCTTCAGCCTCCCCAGTAGCTAACATTACAGGTGAGCAACACTGTTCCTAGCTTGCTGTTTCTTTTTCATTTTTATTTTTATTTCTATTTTCCTGGGCTCAGGCCCAGGAGCATCAGCTGGGTGGCACCTTGGGGGACAAGTCAGCCCCCTGGGGTGTGGCACAGGTGGCAGCCAGGGGACAGCGGCAGAGACTGGGGGCCAGGGTTTTGGCCCAGCGGTGCGAGGGATGAAAGCTGGGCCTTGGTGCTTGGGGCCTGAGGTCCCTGCCAGCAGCTTGCATTTGTGGTCTTGGACGCTCCCCAGGCTCCGGCTGCATCAAGAGCCCCGGCTGACTTTCACAGGTGGCCAGGGCTGAGAGCCAAGGACCAGAACACTGAGTAGAGGAAATAGCAGCAAGAGGGACAGCTCGAGATCCTGTGAGGAGCTGGGCACGGTGGTGCACACCTGTGATCTAGCACGTGGGAGGCTGAGGCAGGAGGATCACCGACAGTCGGGGCCAGCCTGGGCTACACTGAAAGACCATGTTTCCAAAAAGAGAAGATAGAAAGAGAAAAAGATCACGCAGGGCCAGAAAACCAAGGGAGAGGAGCCTGCTTTCTTCTTTGAGCCCTGCAAGCCACTGAAACCCTGCAGCTGCAGGGAAGGCGAGAGGAGACCTGCAGACCTGGAAGCCAGAGACGGGAGAGGAGGCGCGCGAACCAGTCGGGGGACCGTTGCGCAAGACATCACCTCTGGGGCGCAGGGAGGAGACGCAGCCCAGAGACAGGAAGAGGCAGGGCGGCCAGGGCCAGGCCCGGCCTGCTGACTTCGCAGTGGGGGCGGATGGGGACGGCTGGACGGGGGCGATGACCGGGGACATTCACGTGACACCAGCCATTGGCAGGCAGGCGCTGAGCTGGGCGTGGTGGCACAGTCCTGTCATCCCAGAGCTCAGGAGGCTGGGGCAGGAGGACCGCTGCGACTTCGAGGCCAGCCTGGGCTCCACAGTGAGTTCAGAGCTGGCCTGGACTGCACAGAGTGAGACTCGGTCTCAAAAAAATAGTAAAGAAAGACAAGAAGGGCGTGGGGCTCAGCAAGGACCTCAGTCCGCAGGCCCAGGAGCCCTGCATGGGCAGAAGGATCGAAGGCGGCAGACACTGGGTGGGGGGCACAGGGCTGGGGGCTCTGGTTTGGGTTTTCGGACCGCAGAATTCAGTCTCCCTGCTCAGCCCCTGACTCTAGGGTGACCTCCCTGTCCCCAAAAAAGTGACCACAAAGGCACTCGTACGATGGCCTAGGGGGCCACAGGGCCCATCCAGGGACCAGAAACTGAGACCGCGGCTGATCAGCCCTGGTCCAGACGACCCGAGCAGCCAGGGCGTCACCTGCCCCGACCCAGGCGCGGCCAAGCTTCCCCTCCCCTTCTTTTGGTCCACTGAGGCTGCCTTCAGCCTCGCACTGAGCTAAGTCCCCGCCCCACGTCCCTTTGTTCTGACTTTGACACAAGCTCTCATGAGATCACTGAGTGCCCAGGCTGGGCTTAAATTTGCAATCCTCCTGCCTCAGCCTCCCAGAGTGCTGGAATAACAGCCTGGGCCACTAGGCCTGAGCCTTTTCATCCATTCCCACCAAGAGCTACAAGACAGAAGGATTCAGAAGGAAGCTCAGAGGCCACTTCCTATGATCGCTGTGTTTGTGATATTTTCTTTTGCTCTTTATCTCATCCTGGCACAAATCACGCACGGCCACCACCGAAAGGATTAAAGCAACGGCCCAGACTGGGAGGCGGGGCCAGGAGCTGACCCCAAAGGAATTCCACACTAGACAAGGCTCATGGGTCCTCGATTTATCCTGAATCCAGATGAGAAATTGCAGGGCTTAGCTACTGAATGGATGCGTAAGTGCTCCAGGACTAGTTGTCTGAAAATTTAAATCAGTCTCACTTTCTCTCTCTCTCTCTCTCTCTCTCTCTCTTCTGAGACAGGGTCTTGCTATGTAGTTCACGCTGGCCTTCAAGTCACTATGTAACCAAGGCTGACTCCCGATCCTCCTGCCTCAGCCTCCTAAGTGCTAGGGTTACAGCCTGGTGCTACCATGACCCGCTAAACCAATATGTATACAATGAGTCCAAAATAGGAACATCATTTTTACACAGAGGTAGGGGAAGGGCTTGCGGGGAGATGGGGGATGGGGAAAAAAGAGGTGGGAGGTGATGGTGTGCAGGTGCAGATGTCCCCTGATGAGTGTCATCAGTAGGTGTGTCTAAAATGGACCAATAAGTGGTTCGCTGTAAAAAAATAAAATATTTGATTATTCTCTACAATCAAATTTAAAAGGTGCGGGACTGGGTCACACGCCTGTCATCCAGCACTCAGGAGGCTGAGGGGAGGATCGTTGTGACTCCTAGGCAGTGAGGGCCGAGAGGAAGGTCCTGCGTGGACACACGTGGCACTGGTGGGCAGGTTCATCTACACCGCAGGGCGACAGTGGCTCAGACTGGCAGCCGGCGCTGTGCTGGGTCCCAGAGGAGGCGCTGATGGGGAAATCACAGCTCTCCCAGCCCTGCTGATCCCCGCGGGCGGGCGCTCCGCAGTCGGAGCCGCCCGGTGTGACTCACTGGTCCCCGGAACTCGCAGCCTGTGCGCGGCGCTGCTCCCCCATCTCCTCCCAGCGGCCGGCGGCTGGGCAGTGTCATCAGCGGGGGGAAACTGAGGCTTGGGGACATCAGCGATTAAACTGTAGTCTGACGTGGGGGCTTCACGACGCGCTTTATGATGTGTGCACAGGGAGGACTTGCACCCCAGTGAGGCCGCCCCAGGCCTACACTGTAACCACTGAGGTCTGCTAGTCACTCAACAGGCGTTTATGGGGCATGTGGTTTTGCTAGTCCCTGCTTGTCCTAAATACGACCCATGCCCTGTGGTTGAGGCGGGTGCTCAGAGGGAAGGCACGCTTAGCAAAGGCTTCCAGAACCTTCTCTGGCAGACGCAGCCTATGGCCGGATCCAGAGTCCTCATGAGCCAGTGCTGCTGGGAAGATGACCAGCCGGAGCTTGACCCAAGGGACACAGGCAGCCACCCTCTTCCCGGGGGGCTCGGGGCTCCAGAAAAGCCGGTGCAGACTGGGCAAGCATTTCCTCCTCCAAACCCAGCACCTCCAACTCAAATCTCACAGAGATCCTCCTGCCTCAGCCTCCTGAGTGCTTGGGTGTGCCCGGCCACCTTCCTCTCCTCCCCTCACTCCCCTTTCTGTCTTCCTTTCTTCCCTCGGCCTCTGCTGACCCCGGCCGCCTGCCCGTGTCCCTCACCGACTGGCGGGGCAGCCAGGCCCGCTGCCCTCTGTTTATAGGCTCCCAGCCAGAAGGAGGATGGAGGAAGGCCTGGGTCCTCAGGCCCGAGAAACTCCAGAACGCGCCCCTGTTCCGTCCTAGCAGGGGCTGAGTACACGCCGCGTTCTGAGTCCTTTTTAAGGAAAGACGTTCCCTCCGGCCAGTTCCCTCTGCGATTCAGTTTCCCAGGCTGGGAGACTGCACAGCTGAGCGCGGCCAGCACCTCCCGGGCTCGCCAGTAACCGGCACCGGCGGCTGCGACATCTCGGGAGACAGGGGAGCAGGGACAGCAAGCAGTGGACACGAAAACGTCTCCTCTTTTACGCTGCAGGGCTTTTTATTTTGTTGGAACATCTTGGATACACACGGTGTCACATTCATCACAGGGGATTCGAGCCTTACGCGGTGCAGCTTCTGTCTTCCTTTTTCCCAATCCCCTCCCTCCCTTCAGCCCCTCTTCCCTTCCTTATTTATAAAAGTTTTGTTTCCATTTTATCCTTCTATCCTCTTTTTTAAATTCTTTTTTTTAATAAATTTGTTTGTTTGTTTGGTTTGGTTTTTGAGCTTAGGTCTCCCTATGTAGTTCAGCCTGGACTTGAACTCATTATGTAGCCCCAGCTGGCCTGAAATTCCTAGTGCTCCTCCTGCCTCAGCCTCCTGAGTGCTGGATGCCAGGTGTGTGCCACCACGCCTGGGACAAAAACTGTTTCTGAATAAAGTCAACAGCTCGCTCCGAGCAGAGCGGGGAGGCGGACATTCACCCCAGCCTTGCAGCCTGGCTGAGTGGCGAGAAGGTGTCTCCTGGACTAAAGCGAGGCCGACATGGAGGCCGAAGCAGGCCGTGTGGCCCTGAGTCTGCGGTGCTCATTCCGTCTGACGGCCCAGGCTCTCGGGTGGAAGCAGCTTCAACAAAACGGGGAGCCCAGCTGAGCAGCTGCAGCCGGAACCCAGACAGGGTGGCCAGGCGTCCGCTGCAGCCTCACCACGGCCTGGGCAGGAGGGTCCACTGTCCCGGACGAAGGAGACTGCCCTGACTCAGCCTGGTGGATCCTGGGGAGGCTCCGCTCCAGGCCGCCCCTGCTTGTTAACGATCACAAGAGGAAAAGCCAAGCCCTGTGACAGGTGAGACTGCTCCACGAAGTGGGGAGCTTGGTTGCTCAGCGGGCCACTTCCTGTCTCTAAAAGTGGCTTCCCTGAACAAAGCTTGCGTTTTCGCAGCAGCAGTAGAGTGAGGGAGGATTAAGGGGCAGAAGGGAAAAGCAAGGCAGGTTCACCGGGAGGGCGAGGAGGCCGAGCTCTGCGAAAGACTGCTGGCTTGCCGACCACTGCCGTCAGCACCAGGCCCTGGCTCTGTCCCCAGCCCTGCGCTGAAGAACAAAAAGAATCTGGGGCGTGGTGACGCACACCTGTGATCCCAGCTCTCGGGAGGCTGAGGCAGGAGGATCGCCATGAACCCAGAGTTGAAGGCCAGCCTGGGCTTCATAGGAAGGAAGGGAGGGAGGGAGAGAGGGAGAGGGACTAAAAGAGAGACAGACCCCATGCTCAAGGCATGTTATGACATTTCCAAGTGCTTTTCCTTGTTAAGGAGTGAGAGACAGAAAGAACACACGCAGGACCCGAATTCTCTGTCCCCAGCAGGAGCCCTGGGCAGGCAGGTGGACCGGGTCATTTGTCCCCGTCTGACAAGGCTTTGAGGTCAGTTGCGTGGGCCTGGGCCGGCCGGCACCCCAGGGAATCTGCTGACAGCGGCAGGGCTCCGAGGCGGCTCGGAGGAGGATCCGTCCGGGGTCGGCTCGTAAAGTGGGTTTACAGGTGGGCGCACCAAAGGGCGGCAGACGCGGAGAGGCCGCGGTACCCAACTCTCGGAAGGCTGGCCGGGCCTCCCTC